TACAAAATACAGTTCAAATTGGCCTGCTCATTTTCAGCTCCACTGGATCCCACTATCTCAAGCCATCATCCTTTCTCACCTAAATTACTGGCATAGTTTTCTCTCTTTGGGATGACTGCCATATACAACTCTGGGAATGCCATTAGCAGGTAGTGACCCTGGGTCTCCCTCATTCCATTCCTGTTTATTCCACTACTAAAACTTAAGATCTCGCTTGCTCTAGTCTCTGCCTAAGTCTTCATTATTATCTTGTGCCATCTTTAGTCCCAACTCATCATGTGTCAACTTTGCTTAAATTAGCCCAAATTGTTCTTGCCTCTAGGTTGTTGCAAAGCTGTTACCAGTTCCTGGAATGCCCTTCTCTCCTCTCTGTGCATGACGATCTCTTATTCATCTCTCAGGTCTTCCCCTAAATATCACCTCGGAAGATGGGCCTTCCTCAATGTCCCCCACCTAAATTAAGGACTTCTGCTCTCAGTCTCTGTGCTCGATATTTGTTAAAATGTCAGATTTATCAAATAAAAGTACAGGATGTCCATTTAAATCTGAATTTCAGATAAATAATAAATAATTATTTTGTGTAAGTATGCCCCATACAGTATTTGGGAGATATTTATACTAAAAAATCATTGTTTATCTGAAATTCAAATTTAACTGGATGTTCTGCATTTTATCTTCCAACCCTACATGTGTGGATTGACCTCACTTCCTTTCTATTGAAGAGATTGAAAAGTAAAAAACTATTTCTCAGAGTCTTTGGAGCTAGGATTCTGGACATGAATTAAGTCCTTCCAACTAAATGTATTTGTATGAGATTTGAAATGCAGAAATGAGGTAGAGCCTATTTTCCTATAGAAGAGCATGGATGAGCCCCAATAAACATGAAATGTCCACAGCGGTAGGGCAGCTGGGCCGGTGGACGCTATGCTAGCAGTAGCTGCAGCACTACCGACCTATGGTGATTGACCTTGAAGCCAAGAATCCAGTTAGGACATCCTGACCTTTTTTTTTTTTTTTTTCAAATGAGATGGAGTCTCACTCTGTTGCCAGGTTGGAGTGCAGTGGTACGATCTTGGCTCACTGCAACCTCTACCTCCTGGGTTCAAGCAATTCTCCTGCCTCAGCCTCCTGAGTAGCTGAGACTACAGGCATGTGCCACCATGCCCAGCTAACTTTTGTATTTTTAGAAGAGATGGGATTTCACCACGTTGGCCAAGATGGGCTCGATCTCTTGACCTCGTGATCTGCCTGCCTCAGCCTCCCAGAGTGCTGGGATTACAGGCATGAGCCACTGCACCCAGCCAATATTTTTTTCTTAATTGAAATAGGTGCCTAAAAGACAGGAAGGAACGTGCTCCTGCATTCTTGAGGGATGAGGATCAGAAAGTTTTCCCTACTTACGCACCAGCTAGGTCATCTTTCTGGGCATCAATTTTCTTATTCATATTGTAAGGGCTAGACGACACATTGTTAATGTTCCCTTCAACTCTAACATTCTACAAATCTATGATTCTTTGATGTATTTAATAGAGGTGGGAGCCAGAAAAAAATTAATTTGGTGCACTTACTAGCGATCCTTATACGGGATAATAAATAACTTGTTTGGAAGACCTATTCTCCCTGATGGGGAAGTGGACATGGAAATGAGATTATCATCTTGAATGTAAATAATGTGAAGGGGGATGGGAATTAGAAAAGAAAACTGAGAGAAAAGACTACTAGGACAAAATGAGCTTCAAAATATGTAAATCATGCTGAGTGTGGCAGCTTATGCCTATTATCTCAACTGTTTGGGAGCTGAGGCCAAGGTGGGGGATTGATTGAAGCCAAGAGCTTGAGACCAGCCTGGGTAACGCAGCCAGAATCCATCTCTACAATCAATCAATCAGTCAATCAATCAATCGATTAGACCATGTAAATATCACACTTACAGCTCCTCAGTGTCATTCCATTGCTCTTAGAACAAAGATCAACTCCTTATCCTGGTCCCTCAGGTCCTACACAGCTTGGCTCTTAGTACCTCTCCAATCTCACATCAAACCATTGTATTACACTTCGTACATTCAAGATCTTTCGCACTTCAGGGCCTTTGCATCTGCTGTTGTTGCTCTCCCCCAACTCTCCTCACTGCGGCTCCCTCTCATCACCTTCTCAGAGGAGCTTTTTCTAACATCCTATTAAAAGTAGTGCACACCTCCTCCAGTTAATTCCTCTTATATTACCCACTTTGTATTCTTCAAAGCACTGATCACAATCTATAATTATCTTGTTAATTTATTTATTTACTTGCTTATTGTTGGCCTTTTTCAGTGGAATCTAAATTACCAGAGGACAAGGGACTATGACTGGCTTGTTCTCCACTGTTCCTAACTCCTAGAACAATGCATGGCACATAGTAGGTGCTTAGTAAATAGTTGTTGAATGGTTAAATGAATGGGCGAGTGAATGCACAGCTCTTAAAAGGAAACTGCTGGCCAGGTGCAGTGGCTCACACCTGAAATCCCAGCATTTTGGGAGGCTGAGGCAGGCAGATCACCTGAGGTCAGGAGTCTGAGACCAGCCTGGCAAACATGACAAAACCCCATCTCTACTAAAAATACAAAAATTAGCTGGGTGTGATGGCACGTGCCTGTAGTCCCAGCTACTTGGGAGGCTGAGGCAGGAGAATCGCTTGAACCTGGGAGGCAGAGGCTGCAGTGAGCTGAGATCATGCCACTGCACTGCAGCCTGGCGACAGAGCGAGACTCTGTCACAAACAAACAAACAAACTGGAAGGTGCTAAGGGCTTGGTGAACAAGAAGGCCTTGAGAAAATTGAGAAGACAAATAGTGAATGTTTAAGGGAGAATTTAAATGATGGATAGAAATATTAGTGACATAAACAAGTGTGTTGTTAGAAGGAAAGAGAATAAGTGAGCACCTAGGATGAACTTGAAGGATGGGCAACATTTCAGAGAAACCGTTAGCCCTAAGCAGAAATTTAAAGGCAGAGAAAGGAAGGAGGCTTCCAGGAGGGACAGAAAAGAGAAAGCAACATCTCAAAATAAAGAAATTAATATTTAAGGAAAACAATACAGACTTTGGAGCCAGCAGGTTTGAATTTCAGTACCAGCTCTGCCTCTTGCCGGCTGTTTGAGCCTAGTCAAATCCCTTACCATGCCAGAATCCCAGAGGCCTCACTGTAACATGGCTGGACTTGGCCTTACAGCTGTTCTAGGGTTAAAAGAGAGAATGGACTATGAAGGTGACATTTCTATAACATAGTCATGTATTTGAGTATCAAGATTGATTGGATTAATCTGGCTGGATCTTCTTCCTCTATCCCTGCCTCAAGCCACTCCTCCTAAAACTGCCTCCCACATCAGGGTGAGTTTTACTCAGAGTCCTTGGAGTAGTTGCATAGGAAAACTGCTCTGGTCTAATAGAATTTCCAGTTATGTTAAAGCATAATGTAAACGTCCAAGTCCTTAAAACAATGAGTCATTATAGAAACAATCAAGATTGAAGAAAATCTTTGGGAAGGGCACAGTGAGTGGGAATTGAGAAAGAAATATGGTCTCCTTCATTTGGATTTCTTACCTCCTAGGCCTTCTTTTACCAATCCAGTTTTCTCCCCAGAGATGCTTCACATTCTTTGTTCAGGCCTTTTCACTTCTCTTCACTCAACACAACTTTCCTTTCTTTTACAGGTCACCTCCTCCTGGAAGACTTCCTGAAATGATTCCCAATTGTCCTTCAAGCTGTCAACAGAATCCTCACTCACTCTTCCCCCCTCACTGCCCCTTTAAATTTGGTAATGACAGATTTAGATTGATGATGGATACACTTCATCTGCCTTAATACACACCCCAATTCAATAATGCTAAATTTTGTTGATGATGGATACACTTTACCTGGCTTATCACACTTCCTAAGGGCAGGAACCATGACTATCCTGTGATCAGTCTCCCAAACTCCTCCTCATACTTATCTCTCCCTCTTGAAAGCTTCTAAAGATTTGTGGGGCTTTTAAAAGCATGAGGATGTTGCTAATTTGGAGGAGAGAAACTGAAGGATAAATAAAAGGATAGAAGGAAAAAAATGAAGAGAAGGAAAAGAAGGGATGGGTCAAGGCCTGTCCCACCTCTAACATTCCCTAGTGCCATGCATGGGTATCGAGCTGTCACACTCCACACCACCACAAGTAGGAGTCCTGGAAGGAGGTGGAAAGGGGTGGGAACAGTTATTTGGGAGGCACCTATGTTAAGGAAGGAAGAGGTGGATCCTAGCAGAGAGACAGGATCCTGTCATGGTCAACTGGAACAAGCCAAGCAAAGCCGACACACATAAAATCACATCCACCCTTCCGGCTCTCTGGAAATAGAATGAACTCGGGGGTGGTTAGAGGATCAAGTGTAGAGTGGTTAGGGATTCTGGAAAGGGAGGGAGAAGGTCTTAAGAAGTGAGATGTTTCCAGGCAGAGTCTGTCTCCAAATGCCTTTTCCCTTACTGGTGTCCTGGAACCATTAGGTATGAACTCATTGTAACCAGAACGTAAAGGCTGAGCTGATGCTTTGTTAGCAGGAATCCTCACCATCTGGTTATGGAAGGTAAATGACAACTAGTCATGAGCTTCCTAGCCAGACTGAGCACCATATGTTTTATATCACATGAGTGTTTCCCAGCACCGTGCCTGGAATCTGCCAGTGACGCATGACTATTGGTTGAGAAGGATAAGAAGGTCTAAGCAGAGTCAATCAAATGACCCTCTCAGATTGTAAATGAGCAATTCAACAGCTGGGCCTAAGACTCACTGTGTGCCAGGTGCTATTCTAGGTGCAGGGAAAGCAGCAGCGAACATAAAGGTTAGGTCCCTGTTCACTTACCTTCTATTGGACAGAGACAGATCAAAAGTACATAAATAGATCATTGCAGACAGTAATAAATACCATGGAGATAATAAATATGGGTAAATATATAGTGAATGTCTTTGAGATAGACCACTTGAGATACAGATGGTAAAAGAAGTCCTCTCTGAATGTTACGTTCAGGTTGAGACATGAGTGAGAAAATGGAGAAAGCCATGTGAGGCTCTGGAGGAGCAGCGGCCCAAGTAGAGAGAAGAGCGAGTGCAAAGGCAGTACAGCTGCAGCAGCAGTGGCATGCTCAGGGAACAACAAATAGAAAGCACTGCAGCCAGGGCACAAGGAGCAAAATGGAGTGACAGGTCCACATGAACATCCACCGTTCAAGACCATGGTTCCCCTGTTAGCTAAACACTGGAACCATCTGGAAAGCTTTTAAAAGTACTGATACCTGGGACACATCTCCAGAGTGTCCGTTTAATTGGTCTGAGGTGTCACCTGGGCATCAGGAGTTTTAAAGTTTCCCAGATAATTCTAATGTGCAACTGAAGCTGTTAACCGCTGACAAGCCCATGAGGGCCATGGCTAGGCACTTGGATTGATGACAATTGAGGTTCTTGAGGAGTCTCAGAGATATTCCTCCAGTACTTCAAGCCCAGATGCAAAAAGATCCTGAGAGGCCTTGGAGTTGGGGATAAACCAGGACAATGAAGGAAAAGAGATAACAGAAGACTGAAAAAAAGGTCAAGAGAGGCAGAGACATCCAGAAAATATGACAAATTGGAAGGTGCAACAACACAGAAGTGCAAATAGACTCAGAGAGCCAGAGACTGGAGGAGAAAAGGCAATCTTGTGTATTAGTTTCCTACTGATACTGTAAAAAATTACCACAAACTTAGGGGCTTGAAACAATACACATTTGTTACTTTATTATTCTGTAGTTTAGAGTCTGAAATGAGTCTTACCAGGCAAAAATCAAGGTGTCCGCAATGCTTGGTTCCTTCTGAACGGTCTGCTAGAGAATCCATTCCCTCGTCTTTTGCAGCTTCCAGAGGTCACTCACTTCCTTAGCTTGTGACTTCCTGCCTCAGTCTCCAAAGCCAGCAATGTCAGGCGATCACCTCTCTATGCTACCTATCATAGCATAGAAGTGCATCTTTTACAAAATAGATTGCAGTCACAACTGTAGTCTTATGCTTGGATTTCTGTGTGTTTTATGAGCACGGAGCTGGGAGGGTTGTTCCAAGATGAATGTACGTGTGTGTGTTTGTGTAGGTTTATCAGGGTGTCATATTTGAGTGTCTCCCTGGTAAGTATGGGGGAGGGGGAAGAAGGGTGCCTGGAGGGGGTGCCTAATAAAGTCCTGCTGTTCCATAAAGACTTACTGCTGTTATACTCTTGTTCTTTTAATAATAAAACTAATGATAGAGTATCTGTCTCTTTGCCTGTTTTCTTTGAGCATGTCCATCTGTTCCTAAATAGTACTGAACATTTATCCCAGTGATATTCAATGTGTATGAGGCTATTCATACACATTATATTTAGCTGTGATGTTTGTATTACGTGAATGCTTGTCTGCAATTTGGGCATCTGGACATTGATGGATGCAGACACATGTTATATAACAGTGTGAGTGATCATAGTTGTAGACAGCTGAATGTTTACTTATGTGCACACCCCCATGAGTATCCAGTCAGCTAGGCCTGGCATTGGAAGGGTAGAGAAGCTAGGAAGAGGAGGGAGCAGGGAGGAAGAAGAGAGGTTGGGAGAGGAGCAGGTAAGGAGAAAGAGAGATGAAGGTGAGGAATGAAGGCACAAAGGAACACCAGAAAAAAATCAGGAAGCAGGAGGGGTCCCAGGGATCTGTAACTGAAAAAGGCAGGGTTGAATCACAGCAAGAACACAAGTCAGAAGACCAGGGTAGGGCTCCACTTCTGGTCATTCCCTTGCTATGTGACTTTGGCTATTCCAACTCTCTGAGCCTCTGTGAACTACCAGAGTTGAAATAGATAATACCGGGTACATTCCAAAGAAGGAAGGAAAGAGAGAACTGGAAATAAAAACACACACAGGGAAAAACAGAGAGAAAGAACCAGAAAGAGAGACTCACGAAGAAATTAAGGAGAGGCCCTGGGAGCTGGCCAGAGGTAGAGTTGCAAGAGCTCTGCCCCGACTCCCTGAGGCCGGAGTGTGGGTGCCTGTTCCCCACCCCTTACTCCAGAACTTCAGAGTGCCCTTAAGCCCTTAATAGGTAAGGAAGGAAGATGGAAAGGCGAGAGGCACCGGGAATGAAAACCACACATCAACACTCAAGAGGCTTGCCAAAGCCACACAAACCAGGATCTCTACTTCCGGCCCCCAGCCCCCAGATGTAGGTGTGCCAGCCACCTGGAATGAATCACACCTTGGCAATGTGGGCGCACATGCCAAGAGTGAGTCTGGGCACCCGGCCCATGCGCGTACCACAGGCCAAGGGGAAGGTAAAATTGGGGCTCTTCGGGGGTTCACAGAGGGCTACCCTCCCCACACAGGGTTACCCCGCTCCAGACCGCCCTCTAGTGACCATCTCCTAGGCTCGGGGACCCAGGTGTGCTATTCTCCCCTCCCTGCTCCCCCAAACCTTACCCGGGAAGCGGGAGAACCAGATGAGGCATTACGCAAGGCCTGGTGTTTACCTCCCGTGGGAGCCTCCTCCCTCCCTATAAAGCCTGATGTCGTGGAGAGATTTGCCGAGACTAAGACTCTGGTTGAAGACAGAGGCAATCCCAGGAGAGGGGCGGAAAGCGGCAAAAGTTAATGCGGGAGTCGGAGAGAAGGGCATCTACACAGCAAGCAGCAGGGGCGGCCCGCCATCTGCGCGCTCGAAGGCGGTCGCGGTGGTCGCGCAAGGGGCGGCGTCCAGATCCCAACTTTCCATGGATGCGCCCGAGCTGGGCCCGGGGCTGGTGGAGCGTCTGGAGCAGCTGGCGACGTGTCCTCTGTGCGGGGGCTCCTTCGAGGACCCGGTGCTTCTGGCGTGCGAGCACAGCTTCTGCCGCGCGTGTCTGGCCCGCCGCTGGGGGACCCCGCCGGCGACCGACACCGAGGCTTCCCCCACCGCCTGCCCCTGCTGCGGCCTGCCGTGTCCCCGCCGCAGCCTGAGGTCAAATGTGCGGCTGGCAGTGGAGGTGCGAATCAGCCGTGAGCTGCGAGAGAAGCTGGCTGAGCCTGGGGCCCGTGCGGGGAGACGCCGAGGGGGGCGCATCCCCACCATGGGCTGCCTGGACCCGCCCGGAGAGGTGAGGTTGGGCGCGCGTCGTGGAGTTGTTGGTGGAAGCCGGAGGTTCATGGGTTCCCCGGGGAAGCCGGGAATGGCAAGTCTGGAGCCGGAGGCCCTGTGGAAGTTCAGGCAAAGGATGGGGTGGGCAGAGAAAAGCAAAGGATGAGGGGGCGAGGGCTGACCCTGGGTCCTCAAGGTGAGAGGCGCCCGGAAGGACGATGGATGGAGTTGACACTTGGTCCACAGGGGAGGAGGCTGGACGGATGCCTGAGCCTTGTGAGAGGGGCTGGAGAGAAGATAGTGGGGAGGCAGAGAAGGGGTACTGGATAGAACGCGCAGAGCCCTGGAGTCGCCGCGAAGGGCACGGGAACTGCACAAGTTTTGGCAGGGCAGCCGCAGGCGCCCGGGAGGAGAGAGCTGGCGGAGGGGAGGGAGAGGCGGGCGAAAGTGGGAGCCGACCCAGGTGAGGGTGAGTAGGGGGCCTGGGAGGATGGTGGGCGAGGGCAGAACCTGCATAGAGGAGCGGGAGCAGGAGACTGGGCTGGCGGAGAAAAAACTAGGGAGGAGGGGACTGACAAGAGGATGGAGGAAGGGAGCAAGGGGTTGGGGCAAATCCAAACGTCCCCGTAGGGTCGTGGGGGTTGGTCCCAGACTCCGGCTCAAGCTAAGCTGTGTGTTGTTTGTTATTGTTATTTCGACTCCTCCCAAGGCCCCAGGCAGGAGCGGCCACGGGTGGAGGCGAGGTGCGGGAGAACGGCCGCCGGGGCCTCTGGCTCCTCTCCATATCCCAGTCTTACCACCCGTCTACCCCCGCGCCTCTCCTGGGCCCGGGCTCCTTGGCCACCAACCAACCCATTACCTTGCCCGACCCCCGGGCGTCTGGGACTCCTGACTGGCTTCTCCCCAGCAGCCAAGCTGGTCTTAGGTTTTGCTTCTGCCCTTTGAAGTCTTCATAGACCTAATTAGTCTGGGTGTAATTGGCAGAATTAGGCAAATTGTTTCTCTCTCCCTCTCTCTACCATATCGGCCTGCTCCAGACATCAGCACTAGACAGTGAAGTGGAGGGGTCGGGATCCCAGTGTTTGGAGGGGAGCATCCAGCGCCCTCTCCTGGCTCCCATAGTGCTCTATGGATCTGCTGGGCCTTTGGGACACATTCAAGTCTAGCTGCCTCCCTGGCCAGGGTCCAGAGACACAAAGCAAAGGGCCCAATAAACGCCACTGGGCTTTTATTGCAAGAGGGGAAGCAGCTTTATTGTAAGGCTTTTATATACCAACTCTTAGCCTGAGGGCTCTGGGTGTGTGTTCGGTCTGTGTGATGGAGGGCGGAAGGGACAGATGGTTTTCTGGGATGCACTGGGAACGATGGATAAGGATGGGGCCACTGAAAGAGACAGAATGGGGCTGAGGAGGCAGCAGAGGAAGGCAAGGGCTCTGGGGACAAGAAACAGTCATGGACAAGCCTGGGAACAGAGAATTGAGAACCTTTGGGGAGTGGAAAGGGGGAGGACAGTGGAGATGGAGTTAGGAGGATGAGGGAAAAGTGATGGGGTGAGAGGAAGAAGGGATCATGAAAGGTGAAGGAGGAGAATGAGAGGAAAAGGAGCACAGGGGGTAAGGAGGTGAGATCACTCTGAAAGGTGAGGAGGGACACTCAGACAGAGCTCACCTGAGGAGGGGGAAGATAGGGAGGGATGCCCCAGGGAATGAAGCCCAGAGCTCACATCCATGTTTGTTTCTGCCCATCCTAGGATATGAGGAAGACATGGAGACGGTGAGTTCCACTTTTCTGTTCCTTCCTTTCCACACGAGCTGCCATAGCCATCACGTTCTCACTGGGCCCACACTTTTGTTGCCATTAATAGGCAGGTTTTCTGGGGTACAGCCTCATCCCTTCTCCCTCCAGAGGTGTGAATGGGGTATGCGTGGGGGCATTAGCAGCAGAGGGCTGATTTCCTGACCCTTCCCCTCATCTGTCTAGATTTGAAGTCCCAACACCTAAGTCATCTAAATCAGAGGATGATCTCCCTGAAGATTATCCAGTGGTCAAAAACATGCTTCATAGACTGACAGGTAAGGAAAGAAGAAGGGAGGGAAGGGAATTGAATGACAGTCTGTGTTAGATTTTCTTCCTTTTAGCCCTAAAAAGTGATCAGGTCCTTTTTGATGTCTGCATTAGTTTCCTAGTACTGCTGTAATGAAGCACCACAAAGTAGGTGGCTTAAACAACAGACATCTATCTCAAAGTTCAGGAGGTAGAAGTCTGAAATGAAGGTGTCAGCAGTGTTGGTTCCTTCTGAGGGCCATGAGACAGAATCTGTTCCATTCCTGTCTCCTAGCCTCTGGTAGCCTCACATGTTCTTTGGGTGATAGGTCTGCACATTTTCTTTTGTACGCATTTGTCTCTGTGTCCAAATTTCCTCTTTTTATAAGTCAGCAATCTGGATTACAGCCCACCCTAATGACCTTCATTTTAACTTGATTACCTCTGTAAAGATCCTGTTTCAAAGTAAGGTCATATTCTTTGAAAGGAGGTTTGGAGGACTTCAACCTATCTTTGTGTGTGTGTGGAGTGGGGGAGGGCACAGTTCAGCCTATAACAATGTCTATCCTCGATTCCTCATATTCCAGCCATTTTCCCTCTTCCTTTTTCATACATTCAAACAACAGATCCCTGAAGGTTAAGTGCCTCTCAGAAATCTCTGCTTCCACCACCTCTCATCACTCCTCTCTGGAAGGGGACCCCAGCATCTCCTTGACCCTTCTTTCCTCACTCATTCCCAAGAAGAAGGGTGCCTCTACCCTTCTTTAAACTGCCTAGAGAAGATGGTCCACCCTCCTGGTCATCCACCATCTTGCCCAGTCCAGATTGCTTCCAGCACCCCTAATCCAGAAATCTTTCTTCAAAGCACCTCATACATATAAGACCAATGGTTCTTTCTTTCTGGTCTCTGGCTATCACCACCTGCTCTCCTCCTCTGCCCCACACCCTCTACAGAAATAGGCCTGTCCACCCACCCCCATTCCTGTGGGTGGGTGGGCTGGTTTCTCAGGATACCTTGGATTCCTTCCTGTGCCCCTCCCATCACTTGAGGTTCCAGTATCAGTATGGCTTTCTCTTTAGATGAACAATCCCCATTTGGCTGACCCAGCTCCCATGCCCCACCCCAGATGCTGCAGATTGAGGTATCAGTCCTTACTCCTCCCTCCAAGTCAGATCAGCCTCACTCTTCCTCCCCCAGCCCCACAAACCGGACAACCTCTCCTTTGATCTTCCTGCTGTGCTCCCTGCCCTGGACCAGTATGATGCTTCCCCAGGTCCAGTTCTACAGAAGTGGTGCATCAATACAAGGTCCGATATTGCCCAGGCCTGCTCTTCACATGCCTTGCTCCTTTTTGGTCCTGCAGCCGCCTTTTGAGCTGTTGTGGGGTCACTAGCACTCAGTCTTTTACGTGATCTCCGTTGACTATTCTCCACCCTACCCTGCCTGTGATATAGAAAACTCTCTCATGAGGTCCTCTCCCTGCCTCCCGCTCTCCAGCCGACCTGACCCTGGACCCTGGGACTGCACACCGCCGCCTGCTCATCTCCGCCGACCGCCGCAGCGTTCAACTGGCCCCACCAGGGACGCCCGCGCCCCCTGACGGCCCCAAGCGCTTCGATCAGCTCCCGGCTGTGCTGGGCGCGCAGGGCTTCGGGGCCGGCCGCCACTGCTGGGAGGTGGAGACTGCGGACGCTGCCTCCTGCAGAGACTCTTCTGGGGAGGATGAGGACGACGAGGAGAGCCACTATGCAGTGGGCGCGGCCGGGGAATCCGTGCAACGCAAGGGCTGCGTGAGGCTGTGCCCTGCGGGGGCCGTGTGGGCCGTGGAGGGCCGCGGCGGCCGCCTGTGGGCCCTCACGGCACCCGAGCCCACCCTGCTGGGCGGAGCCGAGCCCCCGCCGCGGCGTATTCGCGTGGACCTGGACTGGGAGCGGGGCCGCGTAGCCTTCTACGACGGCCGCTCACTGGACCTGCTTTATGCCTTCCAGGCGTCCGCCCCCCTGGGGGAGCGCATCTTCCCGCTGTTCTGCACCTGCGACCCTCGTGCTCCGCTCCGCATTGTACCAGCGGAAAGCTGAGTCCAACTAGAAGTTTGGCCCGGCCACTGGCCCTGCAGCTGCTTCTTTTTGGCGTGGAATTCCCCACTCATTTCTGCGAACACATTCACACACCCATTGCAGGAGTATTAATCCCAACCCACATTTCCCCCCCAAAAAATGAGATCTCACCTGGTCTCCACGTTTCCGCGTCCCTGCTCAAAATCAAACTCATTCCTGCTTTCTGGCTCTCAGAATCTTCTCTTCCCTACAGCTGCTACAGTACTTCCTGACTTCTCCCATTCAAACCACTCTAGGCCTGCAATGGGGAACAAGCCCTCCCCATCAGTAATGGTAAAGTGACCATGTTTCCTACACAGAGGCTCTGCTGGTCAAATACTTGACTCCCACTCTTGCCTCTCCTAGCTCCAAAGAAGGGCTCAGGGCCTTCCCCACAGATCTAAGGACTGGGCTACCCTGCCTGTCCACTGAGGTTCCTCCTAAAACAAGAGGCTTGACTCTGGTCTGGGCCTTGTGGCCCTCTGGGAAGCTTCGTACCCCTTTTGGGGGATCTCGGGGTGGGGAGGGACAAGCTAGTTCCCCAACCTCCTATGGCTGCTTTCTATGCTCACAGCCTTTTTTCCATAAGAACCTTCTTGAAACTTCTCCCTGCACATACTCACAGAAAGGAGCCAATGGTGCTACTTCCCCTCTCTCCTCCTCAACCTGGGAATACTTCAGATATCTCCAAACTCATCCTTGTGTATAGTCTCACACCCTTCCCCATATGTATAAATGGGCCCATATTTAACACATTTTGTGATTTTGGGTTATTTATTTTGTGCATCTGTGGCAATAAATGAGATCTCAGCGGTGGTACGGATTTGACTGATCTCTGCAACTGTGTATGGCAAAAGGACTGGAAAATGAAAACCAAATCCCAGTAAGGGGTAGAGAGGGCCAAGAGAACTGAACATCTGGGCTGGCAGAGAAATCAAAGTCTAGGAATTAAGAGGTAGGAGTGTAGCACAGGGGATATACCCCAATCTCTTTGCTCCTTCCCTCTTCCTTCCTATCCTAGAGACTCAGGTCCCTGGGACTATATTGGATCTGTCTCTGAAGCTGAAAAACAAAAGGCGGAGGAGATAGTTGGCTCTAAGTGACCAATCTCAGCCATCTTTGTCAGAAATCCTAAATCACAGGAGAAGGGTGGGAAGAAAGGATATGATTATTTCCTGTTCTATTTTCCATAAGAGGTGAGAATGACAAGGACCTCTCTTCTAACTCCTCTTCAGGGCGTGAGGAGGGTTAGCAGGAGGAGAAGGGCTGGGAGCCCTGAGGTCTCCTGTAAGACCTCATATCTCACAGTCAAGGACTAAGATTTAGGATTAAATATTTTAGTAGGATAGCTCTAAACCAGGATTAGCAAGCAAAGCTAGGGTGTAAATTCCTGGAATCTGACTGGGACCCTGGCAGTGAAAGCTGGGACTGTTGAAAACCCAATTTAAGTGTTTGCTACTCATGTAGCGTGCAGGGCCAAGATAACTAGATCCCAGGACAGGCAGTTTGGCAGTGAGAACAAAAGGAAGAGACTGGGACCAAGCTGACTAGATCCCTTGAGAGAGAAGGGTGGGTATTGGGAGGAAAAATGAGGACTGGGGGAACCCAGGAGGCTGGGTTGGAATAGCAGCAAGTCACAATTCCAGGATCTCTGTTCACCCTCCTCTTCCTCTTTCCTCTATCAGGCAGAAGAGAGGGAAGGAAGGGGCTGGAGAAGTAGCCACATGAATACATTCAGGGCCAGACAGACACAGGAATGGTGGAGGAGAGAGGAATTTAGTGCTGCATTGGTCCTGGTGGGGGCTGGGAAGGGTCAGGAGGCTGGGGAGGGGTGGTGGGGGTCGGTCCTAGGGTTGCACGACGCCGTCCTTTGCGATGGCCACGTACACAGTGTGTATGACCACAGCCCTCTTCTTCCTCCTCATCACTTTCCGTGGAGCTCTCACCAAACGCCCGAGGTTTCTCATAAATACAGCAGCCTAGATTTAGAGGGAGGAGCCCAGTTAAAGAGGAGGAAGGGTAAGATGTATAGTTAGATCCATTCCCACTCAAACTCAGCGAAAATTCCTATTTTCTCCTACGTTCCAGGATCCACCTTCCTCAGGCCCACCCTCTGGGACTCAGGCCCCACTCCTCTTGTCCTCTTAGAGAGCCATGAATTCAAAGCCCTACTTCTCCCACCTCTGATACTTCCTGTCATCAGACCTAGGCAATTCCAGTTCTAGCCCTTTCCTACCTCTTTCCCTGATACCACAGAACCACCAAAAAAGTGACAAAACCATGAGCATCTGGGGGCTTCTGGAAAGCCAGTGGATATGAGCAGATACAAGATACGCTGAAGGGAGCCAGAACTCCAGGGCTACTGCGGGCCAACAATTACTCACATTTTGATGAGCGGCGGCCCATGTGTTCATTGTCCACGGTGTCACTTGTCCATTCCACCTTTTTCTCTGGCTTCCGTTTCCGAAGTTTGATGGTAAGGCTCCGGTTCTCCTAGAAGGTTAAGGATGAGCGTACCTATCTAGTCCCCTCCTACTAACCTTTCCCACTCCCTCCCAGGGAACCTCCTCTCTTATCTTCTTCCGCTCAATCAGTACCACAAGACATAGCACCAGGGGAGTTGCGAGAAGATAAAACAGAACAGGTCTTTGACCTCAGACAGTCCCTTGAGGAATAAGTATTATTTCCTGTTCTTATATCACCAGTATAAGAGAAGGCACAATTCCTGACCTAGGGAAGGTTCCAGCAACTCTTCAAAGGAAAATATAATCCTCGCTGTTTCTCCGTCTTCCTCCCCACATCATCCTTGGTAGTATTAATACATGAAAATTACTTTTCAGTCCCCAGCACCTAATCTTTGATCTCCCTTTTTCCAGATCCCTTCTTCTTTTTCCCATTAAACAAACAAACAAAACCTCTCTCATTCTCAAGCTCCAGCTCTCTCTACCTCTTATCCACCTATTCTCTGGCATCCTGGCATCTCTAGTAGCAAGTATTATTAATCTATTAATTACCAAGCTCCCTTTAATCCAAGAGTATTAAGCCCAACACAATCTTCTCCCTTTGAAGGCAACTTAACATGTTTTTGGAAAAATACTTCTTGTTTCTCCATTTACATCTTTGCTCTCTGATTTCTCAAAATGCCTCTTTTCATCTCCTTTTCTTGTTTCCTCATTCCTGCTACTTCCTTTTACATTCATCCATTCAATAAATATTTATTTAAATATAAGCATGGATAATATTGATAAGTTGGCCTCCAACCATGCTTTCTTACACTACCTTTGACTTCCTCCCAACATCTTCCTGGCTCCTTAATCCTCAATTTCCCGTTCGTTCATTACTTATACACATAACCACCCCAAGCAGCAACACCTATATCCTAACTGTACCTCCCTATTACATGATCCTTGACCAGCCTCCTGCACCATCTCTGCCACTCTAAATAGCTCCAATACCTTCCGATTCTCCCAGCCCTAGATATTCAACCCCACACCTCCCATATTCCCAGGCCCAGTTCCTCCAACAACTCTTCTAATCCCTGTCCCCTCCCTCCCAGTATCTCCCAGACCCCTAAACAGCACCGCCCCCCCGCCTTTCTCACGGGCTCGGTTGTCACGGTAACCGTTGTCTCAGTGACGGTCTCGCTCAGCCCAGCCCCTGCCTCGGCCATGGCTAAGGCTCAGGAGAGGGAGGAGAGGAGGAAAGGGGATGGGATGAGACACCCTTCCCTTTTTTTGTCTCTGAGGTCTAAGAGAAGCGGTATCGGATTCAGAGTGGTAGCCAGAATCCTCCACCTTCTTTTTTCCCCCCTCCTCCTGGGCCTCCGTTTCTCCACCCCTGGGGATAACCTGGCCAACCCCACTTCCGGCTCGCCGCTTCCGGGTGTGACGCATGCTGCTGTCCCCCTTTTTCCCTTCCGCGGCACCAAATTCGTCAAAGCGCAGGCGTCGCTGGATTAGTTCCGCCGTAACGTGACGGCGCGCAGGCGCTGAAAGAAAAAGAAACAAATTTGGCGGAAGGGGTGTCGCTGCGGATGTGGGAGGCGGAGGGAGACTCAAGGGCAGCACGCGTACTCACAGCCTAGCGGAAGCAGAAGGGGCGCCCAGATGAGTAGGGCCGGGCCAGACGCTGCAGAGTGGGTGTGGCGAGGGCGGAGTTGTGTGCACCAAGCTGAGTCCTGCTGCAGATTTCCATTTACCTTGTCTGGGTAGCTGGACCGCCGAGGAAACTTAAGGAGCAATAGTAATAAGCCTACGGCGGTCTATTTCCCTTTCCTTGTTTGGTCTGGGTTTCTCTAATGAAAACGGAATGTGGGAGCAGTTGGAAACACACTTAAGAATCAAGCGATGTGGTTCTAGCCCTCGCCTTGTGCCTGTAGGTGTTTAAGCAATTCAGTTTAGTGCACGTTCAGCGTGGGTTTTTTTTCAGTCACTGTGCTAAGCCTTGAAGATGGAGGCGCGTAAGATGCTCAGACCTTGCCTTTTAGCGCCCAGTCTAGTAGAAAAGATAGGCATGCTGAAAACTAACAAAAATATGAAACATTGGGGCATTAACAAATGCCAAGTCGGATTTGTAAATCTGAATGTAGTTACATACTGCCAACATATTCATTCTCTCTGGGGTGATGAGTATGATGAGGCAGAGAAATGGTCGTAAATTGCAGTATAGGCCATTTTATAAAAATATATGCAGGTTTCTTAGAGAGCAAAAGAAAGTGGTAAAACAAGAACCAGGAAGGCCAAGTAGGTTTTTTTAGAAGAGCAGCTTAAAAAGTTGTAGATGTGTGCACTACAGGAAATGGAGTTTTGTACCGCTTGAATCTGAGGAAGTGCCAGATGAGGCTTGACAGGTAGGCAGTGGTTATATGGAAGGACCTGTATGCTTTGCGAAGAAATTGAGCTTAATCCAATCACTGTTATGGGCCAGAGAAAGGCTTAAAGTAGGGTGAAAACGTGAACAGGTGTGTTTCAGATTTCAGGCGTGGGTCAGGAAAGTCAACTGCCAGAACAGTTGAAATGTACAATGGGGAAGACTGCACTGCCCATTCTCCAGGTTGCTGTGGGGGTCAAACAAGATAGCTACGTTTGAGAGCTCTGAATAAGTATATGAAGGGCCTCACAATTATATGGTAATTACTACAGTAACCCCTTGATCACAATTTAAGCCAAGGAATGCAGGACCTGAGTATGTATTTGTTCCTCTTGAAAGTTTTTGGTTCAAACAGAAAAAAGCAAGATATAGTTCAGCATGTCTAGTATAGTCCATTTAAAAAAACCAAACGCATATATAGCAACACACATATACAGAGCCACATATATATTCACAAGCACAGATATACAGTACCATTTGCTTATCTCTGTGGAGTAGGATTCCTTGTGACTTTACTTTTTTCTTTCTATCTTTCTATGTAAGAATCTATTATAATAGGTATACAATTGATCCTTGAACAACATGGGGGTAAGGGGTGCTGACCCTCTGAACAGCCAAAAGTCCATATATAACTTTTTTGACTCCCCCAAAACTTAACTACTATTGACCAGATGCCTTACCAATAACATAAACAGTTGATTAACACATATTTTGTATGTTATATGTATTATATACTGCAATCTTACAATCAAGTAAGCTAGAGAAAACATTAAGAAAATCATAAGGAAAAGAAAATATATTTACTCTTCATTAAGTAGAAGTTGATCACATTTTTATGTTGAGTAGGCTCAGGAAGAGGAAAAGGAGGGCTTAAATGTGCTGCTATCTTATCGGTATCAGAAGTGGAAGAAACTCCACATATATGTAGAATCAAGCAGTTCAAACCTGTGGTGTTCAAGGGTCAACTGTATATTGTATTTATCTCAATAGTAATAAAATACCTATAGTGATCACTTAGTATCAGTTTTTTTGCTGTCCAAATTTATGTGCTAAAGAGATCTGGTTAAAATTTCTGTTAAATGTCTCACTATCCAAATCCCTAGTTTTTCTTAACCTAAACTCAGGAAGCAAATAGATTTAAATAGTATGGCAATACTTACAATTGCTTTTTGTTTATATTAGCCTCATTCCTGACTCTACTTTTTTGTCCTTATTTTTCCATCTTTTCTTTTTCATGTATCTCTGTAAACTCATTTAAATTCCTTTTGGAATAAGACAGATTATAAGTAACATACATATGTCAGGGTCTTTTAGGAAAATATAACTTTAATAAGGAAATTCAATTAAGGGTAGGAGTACTCCAGGAACAACGGTAATCCCCACATGATGATCTGACTCTCTTCTAGGAGCAACACATTGCAACCAGATGGGATGGACAAGGCATCTAAAAACCCAGTATCCTTCACCTTCCAAAAGGAGGGAGGGACTGTTGAGTTGCCCAGGAAAAAGGTCAAGAGTCTTCCTTCTCCTGGAACCTATGAGGAAAGAAAGGACTTGTTATATTCACCAAAAGATGAGTTTCTAGTAGTATAAGATATGCAATCAAATAACCTAGGAAGGACTTTTATTTATGACATCATTGAGGACTGGCTCCCCTAAACAAGCCTCCAATTCTAATTCCAAGACAACTAAAAATTCTGGGATTAAAAATATATCCAATGAATTATAATCTCAAAGCAAAGATTTCTTAGGACACAGAAAGCACTAGCTGTAAAAGAAAAAAAAAAAAAGGATAAGCTGGACCTTATAAAAACTTAAAACTTCTGCTCATTTAAAGAGGGTTAAGAAAATAAACAGGCAAGCCACAGGCTGGGAAAAAATTCTTCTTCTTTTAATTTTTTTAATTTTTTTTTTTTTGGTAAAATGACAATCAGTGATAGGAAAAAAATACTTTTAAAAGATATATCTGACTATGAATATTTTTAATCTTTTGATGAGATGGCAAGAAAGTAAAGGCAGTCTTCATACTGGTTAAAAGTTCTGTAAAACCAGAAATCCAGACAGTGAAGTTAAAACTGATGTCCCTATGAAATGTGACAGTGACACTATGGTGCCGCCCTTTATACTGTTGCAACAGTCACTGGAAGCATAGGAAATGAGGGACAAAATGTGTAAGGTTGATAGGAGATCCTGTGCATAAATTTGGGAACTGCAAAAGGCTGCCCTTTTTTGTAAAAGTGAACAACAAAAGAAAAAATTCAACTCTATAGAAGGGGAATTTGACTGTCTCAGTAGGTAGAAAGAGAGAAAACTCTTTCCTGAGAATTTCTAGCCATAAGCTAGCCCTTACATGGATTTGCAGCTCAAATTCATACTATCTGTGTGCTCCAAAAAACATGAAGCCAAGAATTTATTTAAAGTAATTCCAGCTTGATAGTGCTTCAAGGCACCTAGAAAAGAAACACAAATGCTGAGAATACAGCACTTACCCAAGGCCTCAAAGAATTCCTACAGTTCAAGTTCTAAAAAACTCAAATTTATTGTCAAAAATTACAAAACAAAGAAAAAAGCACTATGAGAGAGACAGCAGAAACAGACAGCAGCATCAGACACACAAAATCCATGGATATCAGAATTATGAGACATAGAATATAATAACTATATTTAATATTTTATATATTTAAAGACTAGTAAAAGGAACAATTTAAAATATGATTAAGGAACTGAGAATTATTTAAAAATTGAGATTTGAAAAGTAATTAAATAGAACTCAAAATAATAACAATAGTAAAAAATAATAATACTTGAAATAAACTGAAGACAGAACTAGTGACATGGAAGAGGAACCTGAAGAAATTACTCAGAAGGTGGCATAAAGAGAAAAGCGATTGAAAATATGAAAAGAGGGCGAGAGAAATGGAGGACAGAAGAGAGAAATCTCATTCTAGTAACTAATTAGAGGTCCAGAATGTGAGGACTGAGAACATGGGGGAAAGAGAATATTAAAAGAGATGATGGCTGATAATTTTCCAAGGTTGATGAAAAAAAAATCCACTCTAGGCTGGGCGCAGTGGCTTACGCCTGTAATCCCAGCACTTTGGGAGGCCAAGGCGGGTGGATCACGAGGTCAGGAGATCGAGATCATCCTGGCTAACACAGTGAAATCTCGTCTCTACTAAAAAACACAAAAAATTAGCCGGGCGTGGTGGGGGGCACCTGTAGTCCCAGCTATTCAGGAGGCTGAGGCAGGAGAATGGCGTGAACCCGGGAGACGGCGCTTGTAGTGAGCCGAGAACACACCACTGCACTGCAGCCTGGGAGACAGAGCAAGACTCCGTCTCAAAAAAAAAAACAAAACAAAAAACAACAATGCACTCTCAGTTTCAGAAAGTCCAACAAATCCCAAACAGAATAAAAGAAAATCACATTTTGATATACTATAGTGACTGCAGAACACCAAAGACAAAGATGAGGTCTTAAAAGCATTCAGAAAGCCCATGTTCTCTAAATCATGTGTGACTAATTCTCTCCAAAGTAAAGCTACCTTGACTGCGGTTGAAGACTGCGGTATAAGATGCTGACCACTAAACAATACTTGCTTCTTATGGTTTTTTTTCTTCATTTCCTTTTAAATATCCTAAAAGAAGGTCAGGCAGGGTGGCTCATGCCTGTAATCCCCAGCACTTTGGGATGCTGAGGTGGGTTGATTGAGCTCAGGAGTTCAAGACCAGCCTGGGAAACATAGAGAAACCCTATCTCTACTAAAAATACAAAAAACAAAACAAAAAAAAAGCCAGGCATGGTGGCACGTGCCTGTCGTCCCAAAGTTACTTTGGAGGCTGAGGTGGGAGGATTACCTGAGCCCAGGAGGCGGAGGTTGCAGTGAGCCAAGATTGCCTCACTGCACTCCAGGCTAGGTGACAGAGCGACACCCTGTCCATGAAAAAAAAAAAAAAAAAAAACCTAAAAGGTTTATTTCACTGGTTACAAAAAGGGTTAAAAAAGTGTAATTTTAAAAAATAAAAACTACAAATCTCCCTATTACCAGAACTGCACAGAAATAAGGGATGGGACGAAAGGAAACAGCCCTTTAGTACAAAAAAATAAATCACTGGATTTGTTTATTAGTTAGCAAACAGACTGAGCAAAGGGAGGGGAAAGGATACCCACTTGCAGTTGGTACAGGTGTAGAAGACAGTTTGCCCTTCATCGGCTGAACGCATCTGTCTGGTGTGGTATGCCATTCCTTCATGACCACATCGAGGGCAGCGCCTGTCAACCTGGGAAGGAACTGGTGGGTTATGGAGGCCTGGTCATATCATACCCTTACTTCCCACAGGAATCAGGCGATCACGCCTCTCAAACATCGATGCTTTACATCTTTTCCCACTTGGAATTGGGCACAAAACTCTCCAGATCTCTGCAATCACTCCTCCATTTCTTTCCTACCCACCTTATGGAGCCAGTTCTTGATCTCATTAACTTACCACAGGTCCCTGGCACTCAGGCCCTTCCTCCACCGACATAGGCATGGCTGTCCCCAGTTGGTGGAACACAACTGAAGTCTTCACAACCTTCCCCTCAAAGTCTGCACAGGCAAGTAAGACGGGTTATGGAGACAACCTGAGGGAGCTGACACCGGAAACTTCCCCTCTCCCCTGGCTGGTTAGGCCAGGAGGCCCTATATCCTTTCCCTCAGTTTTCATCGCTGGACCAAATGTACAACTGCCTGATGTCCTGCTCTAGGATCCCCTTCTCAACCCAACCGATCTTGAGTTCCCCAAGCTTCCGATCCTGGGCCCTCCGCCAGGACCCCTGCGTACAAGCCTCTCACCCCGAACGTTGATGTTGAAGCCACAGCGAGTACAGGTGACCGTATCCTGAGCCCCGGGCAGAGGGAGGACCGAGCCGCAATCTGAACAGAAATCCAAGTCCGACTGAAAGCTGGAGCAAGTACCGGCGAGGTCCATGACAGACATGCAGTCGGGTCTGAGGAGGTAGTTAGAAGTTTATTAACAAAAGAGAGAAGAGTTCCTGCCCCAGAGGTGGTAACTATTCCGTCCCAGGACGTAGGAGTATATAACCCGAGTCCTCCTCCCACGCACGCTTCCTGCCTCTGCGACCAAGGAGCCCAAACGCCCGGAACTCCCAGACAGCGTGGGTACTAAGAGGACTTGGAACCCTTTCCTGGGGCCGGCGAGAGGAGCTGGCCAACTCCGTGGGCTAGAGCGCCAGCTCTGCGCCCGCAGCGGGGCAGCGAGCTAGAGCCGGCTAGAGCGTCACGCTTTTTTACGCTGACGATTGGCTGTGACGTCATAATTAATTGCGAACCGTGTCTCGGAAGCCTTAGAGATGGAGAGTCACCTCTTCTAAGGGAGGTTGCGGCTCAACTTTCAGGCTGGTACTGAGACGTTGAGCACCAAATTGGTAACCAGTGCTGCGCTTCGAGCAAATTTTCCCACCAGCACCGAATCCTGGGATATTTATTCTCTTTTTCACATCCTACGAGAACCCAATCGCGGGGGAATATCCTCCTGAAAACCGTACTTTGCTGAATAATGACTTCTTTGGATTAGAGAACTACAACTCCCCTGGGTCCTGAGCTGGTATTTCCCTTTTGCGGCTACACAATAGTTAAAAACAAAGCTAAGTGTTCTGGCATGTATAGTTCTAGCGTTCCTTGGGTCCCGCTGGCGAGCGTGGGCTTTCTGCAGAGCGCAGCCGGCCTGTGTGCTTTGCGGACGGTTCACCGCGCTTGGAAAGGGGTGAGTCGGCTTCTTGAGGGACAGCAAGTGGTGAGGGTGAAGGCAGGAGGAATCCTTAGTCCCACGGTACGAAAGGAAGCAGGGATGAAGTGGGACACTTGAGAAGGGGCTCAGGACTTTGGAGGTGGTAGAACAGAAGAGCTTGGGGCTTCCCCTCCTTCGACTCCTGCCAGATAAGTGAGGCTAGCAGTAGTCAAGAAGCTCATTAAGTAGAATTTCATAAGACTTAGGTCGAGTTTGGCTTTTAGTTGTGCCTGCCGCTTATCGAACTCTTAATTCATTATTCGTTATCCATTAAGTGGACCGCTGACATTTCCCTTTTCTTTTATAAAACATGGGATTAAGTTTCTTTCGGAAATCTTGCTATTTTCATTACTCTGTAACTTATATTCGAAGTAGAAACTTTTCCTGAAGGGGCAGCTTGTTGTTGTTTACTAGTTTCTTGCTAGTCCTCCCACCACCACCCACTCTGATAGCTGTGCTAAGTTCCTTCATATGAAAGCTCTGGAGCCATCACTGTTTTGTCCTGTGAAGGACACAAGCTGTAGTCTTTTCGCTGGGAGAGGCTCCCATCTGCCTTTCTCTGTGATAATGGAGAGAACACCATAGTTAAAGGGTTAAAACTCAGCAAACTGCTGAAGAGTGACAAGCCCTATCACTTAACTGTGAAATTGCTTGTTATTCTGTCTGACAAAGGGAGATGTGTTGTTGAGCTGATTGTCGTAGACAGTTTTTATTCTCACTTTTCTGTGTGTCTCCTTTGAAAATGGAACTTGAAATTCTACCCTTCTCAATTTTCTCTTTTTAATTTGAAAAACACTCACCCAACATCCCCTGTGAGTTGCAGTAAAGAACAAAGCATTGAAAGGCATATCCTTTTCCCAACAAAAGCTCACAATCTATTCAATAAAGTATTTATTGAGCAACTATGCCAGGTTTTGAGCTGAGGCTGAACCTGCAAAGTTGAAATCTGTGTTCTTTGACCTAAAGGAACATGAATGAATAATTAGAATACAATAAAAGTGTGCCAGGAGGTACAAAATGTGAGAGCCCAGAACATACATATAAAGCAAACATATCTGTAAACTTCAAGGAAGACTGGGAAATGATTTAATAAAAAGATAGATACAATGTTATGGCAGATATTTAAAAAGATGCTCAGATATTATGTGTCAAGGATCATCAGCAATCAACAAATCATTAATTTTGAGAATTTGGGATCACAGACTCTAATGTTAAGTACTGTGCTAGAAGCCATGTACAGAGAAGTAAAAGTAAGGTGATCGTATGTTTAAAATCTCAAAATAAGCTTACATAGACAAATAAGAATGTTCCTAAGAGGTCAATGAGACCAAATATTTGATATCAGATCCTTTCCAACAATATAGAGGCATATTTGTAGATGTAAATTACAGTTTTCATTCCTTATGAGCCTAAATGTCAGCACCAAAATGTTAAAAGTGATATATGAATACAGATATCACAGTGTAAACCATGATTAATTTTCAAATGAGTTGTAGAATTAAAATATGTCAAGTATTTAGAGGAAGGGAAAATGACTGTGACAGAGTAGACCAGAAAGACTTTATAGTCAGGAACTTGACCTGTGAAGGACAGATAGAATTTATTGAGAACTTACCAAGTTCTTTACATCTAATTCATATTTGTTCTTTATAACCCTGAGAGGCAGATTTGTGTCTTACATCTCCATTTTATAGATGAGAAAGCTGACAGAAGTTACTTGCCGTGAGTCACACACCTAGGAAGTGGTGGAATTAGGATTCAGATCTAGCCGTGTCAGACTGTAAAGCCCATCCTTTGAACTGTAAATGGTATAAAAGGCATAGAGAGGAAACGCCAGACATCCTCAGGGGCTTAAATACGACCTCACAGTAAACTCAGGCTAGACCAGGGATGACACATAAAGGTTGATAGTTTTCGTTTGTGTTGCCATCAGCCTCCTCTATAAATAAACCCAGAGTAATCACAAATTCCCATCCTGAGGGGTTCAACAGGGAATAGTCTCATAATAGATTTAGAGTGAAGGATGGTTGGCATTGTAAGGCAGGCAAGCAGAGGGCTGAGCAATCAAATAAAAAAATTTCAGAACAAAAGATTAGAGAGCAGAAATGCTGTATGTGCTGATAGAGGCAGAGAGGGCCCGGATCAAGAAACTGCAGGAAGAGAAAACTAGAAACCTAGAATCATCTAGAAAACTAGAACCTAGAATCGTCTCAGAACACAGAGGAGGCTTGAGGACTGAGCAGACTGACATAGATGTACTTGGACAACACCTCACCAAGGAGCATGTCTCTTCCCACTCACAATCCCCAATACGAGATTCACAGTGGTTCATGCTGAGTCCACAGGAAAAGTATGCTTGTTCATATAAAAGGAAAGATCCTCTTATTAAAAGAGCATTCATTATTTTCTACCATAGGAATGCAGTGGTTTCCCATGCGGGAAATGGCCCTGCTGTAGTCCTGCCTATTAGCAAGTTTGTTCTGACACCTCCTACATTTGAATCTACCTTTGCTTTTTTATCTTTCAGATTGGCCTGGGGTACATCATCTAAAGATCCTAGGATTGCTGCAGGTCAGCAGTCTCCATTGGAAAAAAAGATCTTGGTAAGTAAATCATCCTCACATCATACAGTTTGGAACTACACAGAGAAGGAATCTTAGGTTTAAAATCCTTCTGCCCAAGTGACACATTCAGGTAGTATGTCTACACTGGCAAATGTTACCCAGCTATATCCACAGTTGCAAAACAAAGTATCGTTTTGAAAACTTCCAACACCATACATTTTTAAAACTACTTACTGATTTGTGGTGATGACTACTTCATACTTTCAGAGCTCACAGGCTCACCTGGGAGTGATGGGAATAAAATAACAAGCTAAAGTAAAGAGCATGTAGCTGTTCTGGTATCGTTAGGGAGGGTGGGCTTGGCTCCTGTTTAAATGCGTTCAAAGGAAAAAGATGATCACATTATAAATTTCTGACTTCACTTTGACAGAATCTAGGTGGTGTGCATACAACAGCAGCAAGACAGTTGATAACTCAGAAATACCAGGAGGAGTGTGAAATCCTCCGTAGGGAGCAAGCTGTTTCTCTTGACTACTGGCTTGCCAAAGCAGAGTCTTATTATAATAAAATAATATTGGAAATGATGAAAGAAGAGACAGGCAATGAAATCAAGAAAAAAATGGAGAAGAAAACAACCCGAAACATAGAAGGACTAAAACAGTGCCATTTGATACCTGAGAGAGAGGTGAAACACATAGAAAGGCACATACATCAAACAGGACAGGCTGGAGAATTTAAGAACAAATCATTTAGACAAGTACTGCTACCCCCCAGTGAAACAAAATTACCAAACATTGTGCCAGAAGGGCATGGCATCCAGAACGCACAGAGAAGAAAGCAGGTAAATGACAGGGAACAGATGCAGATTAAGGATCACCAGGAACGCATGATTCGAGGAAGAGAACTTACAGAGCAAAGACTCAAGGAAAGAATCTTAAGAAGAAGCCAGAGCCAGCTACCTACATATGAGAAGCGTGAGAGAGTAAAGAAAGAGATAAAGGAGTTTGAAAGAGTTACTGCATATCCGCTTTTCCAGCCATGCAGTAGAAGTCGGATTAAAGTGAATATTCTAATGGAAAAGTCTCAGAATGGAGAGAAAGTGAATACAATTGTGAAACCATATCAAAGAAAATTCTTGGCCATGCCACCCTTTTTAAGAAGTCAAATAGGAAAAATAAAAGATTAAAGTTTCAGTGCTGTTATGATAAAATCATATCTCTTAAGTGAACCCCCCGTTTTTTTTTTAAATGTGTGTTCTCATCTCTCCAGGGTTCAGTGAATATTCCCATTTGTATCAGACGCAGATAGATAGTTCTGGACTTGAAAATTAGCTTAACTATTTTTAGTTGACTTGCAGTTGTTCAAGTTGCATATCCTTTCTAGTGTTCAGTGTCCTCATCTTTAAAATGGCAATAATAATATTTGATTGCATTTGTGGAAGGACTTATTGTGTTTGTGAAGTGTAGATATGTATTAGTTGTTTCATAAATGTTAGTTTCCCCACTTGGGAAGACGGGGGTTGGGCGATGGGGTGAATAAAGAATTACTCTAATCTGCTTCTCTTATTCTCCCTGCTCCCAGCCCTCCAAGGTTATTTTGATGAGATTGATATAGTTTAATATATGGTCTTTAATATCATACCTTTGTCAGATAACTACTAGCCAGGCCCTAAAAGTGTAACTTGCCCTGTACAATTTAGTTGTATGAGAAACTTAATTTTGAGAGCCTCCTACATGCTAGGCATTGTGTTAGTTACTGAAGGTTGTCCCGTCCCACGGGATCGTCAATGTAGGCCCTAGAAGAGGGAGTGGGAACTCGGGGGGACAAGAGACACGAGAAATGGAGACGAGACAATATCCTGATCAAGTCTCGTTTATTGGTGGCAGTGTAATGCCTTATATAGACCGGCAGGGGCGGAGGTTGGGCCAGGGCGATGATGGTGGCCCTGCGGTGGGCGTGGCCAGGTAGGTTTTGGTTTCTTTGGTCAGACGTCATGTTGCGCCTGTGCTGTAAGTTGATCATTTTCCCGGGCGCGGGAAAATGGATGATGAAGAACCCGGAAGAGCGCCATTTTGTACTGGCGTATGAGACAGCAGAACAGGGAAGAAAGTAAATCTAGGGAGGAGACATAGAGTGGAAGCGTATAGAGCTCAGGCGTCAGTCGTCAGTTATAATCGCTATGACTGGGCCACGCAGCTCCGGACAGGTCCCCCTTTTTTATTATTTCATGATGAGAGATAGCCCCTCGGGAACTGCGCCTGTCTTAGGTTGGGTCAAATCATCCCCACCTTTTAAGCCCGTCATGGGATTAGGCAGCAGCAAGGGCGGCCTTCCTGTCTTAGGCTCAATTGGGGGTGGTGTCCTCTTACCCGTCATTGACTGTCCAGTTCAGCTCACAGGGGAGGTGGTCTTATAAGGGCAGATAAGACTCACCATGTTCAGACATCTCAA